GGGGCACTCAGGCATGCCTGGCGCACGGAGGCAATGGGGGAGGGAGAGCAGAGCAGCCAGGGGGGCAGGGGCCAGCGGCCAGAATGGGCTGCCTGCGCGCTCGGGTGACCCAACTCCTCCCTCACACCCTTGAGTCCCCTTCACGCACCACCACCGCCACACTGATGCACACACGCGCTCACACCACCACCAACCTGCCCCCCGCCCCGCAGGTGCTCCCCCCCGGAGCCGCCCAGGTGCAGCCGCTGGTGGAGGTCTTCTTCGTGCTCACCGACATCCGCTCCAAGCTGCGGCCGCCTGAGGAGGGCGGCGGCGCAGACAGGTGCGTGCTGTGTGCCACGCTGCGCTTGCCGCGCCGCGCTCGTTGCGCCGCCGCCGCCAGCCCTGGGCCTGTGGGTGGAGCCCCTGCTGCCGTTTGCGATGCCGCTCCCACCACCCACTCACACACCCCAAGCATCCACGCACACCTCACATCTCACACCGTCAAACAAAACCGCCGCCCCTCTCTGCAGGGGCCCCGCTTCCTCTGGCGGCGACCGTGCCGCCAGCATGTCGCTGGACGTCCAGTCGCCCACCGCCTCTCAGATCAGCAGCATGAGCGGGGCGATGGCAGGGCGCGCCACCTCACCCACCGCGGAGAGCCAGGCATGTATCCTCGCCGCCGCTGCTGTTGCCCGCTGCTGCTTGCTGGCCCGTCCCTGTCGCGCAGCGCGGCTGGCGACCCTCGTGGGCTTGCTGGGGAGGAGTTGCCTCAATGACCTCCACCCACACGTGCACTTCCGCTGCGGTACCCCACCCCAGCGCCTCGCACACAACCCCCACCCCACCATGCGCCCACCCACCCACACGCCTGCCTCCCCCCCTCCTCAACCCCGCAGCCTGCCTTCATGCGGTTTGCCGAGCGCCACCGCCGCCTTATCAACGTGCTGGTGCACCACAAGCCCGAGCTGCTGCACACCAGCATGGCGCTGCTGCTGCGCGCGCCCAAGCTGCTCGACTTTGACAACAAGTGAGCGCCGGAGGCTCAACCAGAGCCTGCGGGGCTGCCGCGGGCTGGGCTCTCTTCCCTGGGGGCCGGGCGCCCGCCGGTGCTGCTTCCGCCGGCTGCTGTGCTGCTCAGCACCACGCGCATGGAGGCACTGGGGCACCCACGCGGCCAGGCCGCCAGGCAGTCGCATAGGTGGCAGTCCCTTGCGCCCTCCGCTGCTGGCCTCCTGAGCCTCTGCCCCGCCCCCGGTCTCCCTCCTGCAGGCGTGCCTACTTCCGCAGCCAGGTCAAGGAGACGGAGTCGCAGGCTCACTACGGGTCCATGCGGTGCGCTGATGTGGCGGGCACACATGGGATACCTGCCTGCCAGCACCGTGGTGCTGCCGGTGTTGCCGCTGAATCGGAAGTATCCGGGAAAGAAGCATAGCACGCCACGGCATGCGGGTCTCGGCCGCCTGCTGCCCGGCCCGGCCCGCCTCCCGCCTCCCTCCGCTGCGCGCGTCGCCCCGCCTCTCCCCTCCCCGATCACCGCCTCGCCTCCTCGCTGCCGCCGCAGGCTGCACGTGCGGCGGGAGCACGTGTTTGAGGATTCCTTCTACCAGCTGCGCATGCGGTCCACAGAAGAGATGCGCGCCAAGCTCAAGTGGGTTGTGGCAGCCGGCGGGGGGGCTGCCTGCATGCGGGTGGTGCCGGCCTGGGCGCCAACCCAACAAGGGCCCAGGGGCCAGCCGAGCCCGACCACCCTGCCCCCGCCTCTCCAGCCTCCCCTGCACCTGCCCTGCTCCCCCGACCCTGTGCCCCACCCTCCACCCTCCACCTGTGCCCCACCCTCCACCCTGTGCCCCACCCCCGCCCCCCGCAGCGTGGTGTTCACCGGAGAGGAGGGCGTGGATGCGGGGGGCGTGACGCGGGAGTGGTACCAGGTGATGAGCCGGGAGATGTTCAACCCGCAGTTCTCGCTGTTCCAGCCGGTGCCCGAGGGAGGCACCACCTTCCAGGTGAGGCGCGGGGGCGAGC